TTACTTTTTATTTTTATTAAATTATTATCCGTGCATAGAAAATTACACATTTTGTAAGTGTACAACACAGACAACTTTCAGAAAACCAAATATACTTAAGTAGTAGTCTATGGATAAATACACAATGAATTTTTAAACACAAAAAAGCTTCCCTTACTGTTGTCCATCATATTGGGCTTTGCCTCAGAAAAGGGACTATTATACTGATTTGTATTAGCATAGATGAAGTTTGCTTGTTTTTATACTTAATAAAATTAGAGCCATATAATACATTTTCAATTTCATCTAGTTTCTTTTGTTCGATGTGCTATTAGAGAACTTTGTTTTATATTGTGTTAGATAATTCCCTATTATTTTCATACACCTGTATAGGTAAATCTATATCACAATTGAATCTTTTTTATGGATTGGCACTTTGGGCACTAAGAATAATGTTGTTACACACATCTTGTTCATTTTTGTGGACATATATGTATTATTGCAAATATGTGCATTTTGGGGGTACTTTCTACCTAGTAATAAAATAGTTGGGTCATAGAAAAGGATATATTCACCTTTGGTAGACATGGCAAAATAACTTTTCTGAAGAGCATTCAATTATACACCTATCATTATCCTATGGGAATTTTAGCTGTTCTAAGTTCTCAATTTGCTTGCTATTTTCTCTCTCTTCTTTTTGTCTTCCCCTCCTATTATTGTTGTCATTTATTATTATTATTATTATTTTAGCCAATCTGGTAGGTATATATTAGTGGTATATATTAATATCACATGGTAAATTTTATTTGCCTTTTTCTGGTGACAAAGGTTATCAAACAATTTGTCATATGTTCTTCATCTATTCATCCTTTTTCACATGATGTTGAAATGTTTTGACCATTTCTTTATTAGGTTGTCTTTCTTTTAATTGATTAGAAGGAGTTCTGTATATAATTTCAATAGGAGTTGTTGTACCAATGTAGTGGAAGAAACTTTTTCTACATGTAGATTACTATTTTTTTTTTAATGGCATCTTGCTTAATAGAAATTTTACATTTTATGTTCAGGTTTATTTTCCATCTTTTATAGTTAGTGTTTGGGATTCTGATCAAGGCATTTTACTTATCCTAGAAGATCTTTTTCTGTTTTTTGTTTGCTTGTTTGTTTGTTTGTTTTTGCTTTTATCTTAGACATCTTTTCATATTTAAATATTCAACCAATCTGGAACCGATTTCTTTCTCTTTATTGGATTTTCTTCCTTTGTGTTCCTGTGTTTGTGTGTGTGTTACAGAGAAACAGCAATGATTCAGTTTATTTACATAGATTTCAAAAATCCCCACACTATTAATTAATCAATTAATTTACACTGTCCTTTTCCCTTTCACTGTAGTGAGACCTCAGACATCAGTCAGGAGACCACATACACGTAACTCTTTTTCTAGACGTTCTTTTCTCTGCCATGGGTCAGTCAGTGCATTCTTAATTCCCCAACATTTTATAGAGTTTTAAATATTCACTATTCTTTCACTTTCATTATTCTATATGATTGACTTAGCTGTATCAGATCACATTCTGAAAAAATTCTATCAGCTTGCTAATTTATGGAGAAAAAACCTGATAGAAAAAAAACTGCATTTACATTGAATAGATTATTTGGAGAAAACTTGTCATTGTTACATACTGAGTCTTTCAATTCATGCATATGATACATTCCTCTAGATAGGGCTCCCTGTTTGTCTCAATTATATGTTGTAGTTTTCACTGTAAAGATATTTTATATTTCAATAAAACACGTTTTCTATTAGGTTATTTTCAAAATCATTGATATTTTTGTGTCACTCATGCAAATGGTATCAAGTTTCAAATTTTATTTTCGATTTGTTTTTGATGTGTGGCTATACAAAATATTTTGCGTTTTTACATTTTATATTGCAAACTAGCTAGATTCACTCATTTTGCTAAATAGCTTCTCTTTTGAGTTTTCTATGCATATAATTTTATTATCTCTGGTCATTTAAATTTATTTTTCCTTCCTGATAATTATACTTTGTGTTCTATTTTCTTATCTAATTGTAATGACTAGGATTGTGAGCATATTTTCAATAGTTTTATAGAAAATGGACATTTTTTGCTTCATTCTTGAACCTTCTGGGATTAGAAATTTTCAAAATTTCATTATTGCTTACGAGGTTTTTGTAGTTGATTCTCTATTAAAATATAGAAGTTTCCATGTATTTTACTTTGCACAATAATTTTTTAAATCATGTTCACCTCAACATATTTTCTCTATTTTTTAACTAGTATTAACTATAAATTTTTCCAAAACCTATCATTTAATTTCAAGATGATAGTATTTGCCCATTTGTCTGCTAGTTATTAATTTCATGTTGCTTTTAGGATACTCAGAAAATATCTATAAATTTTTCCAAAACCTATCATTTAATTTCAAGATGATAGTATTTGCCCATTTGTCTGCTAGTTATTAATTTCATGTTGCTTTTAGGATACTCAGAAAATATTTGTTAAATGATTTCAAACCTTTGGAATTTGTTCAGGCTTACTTCATGGCCCAGCATATGGTGAAATTTGGTAAATATTTCATGAGCACTGGAAAAAAATAAGTTCTGTAATATTTTTATTCATTGTTCTGTATATTTTATTTTAGACACACTAAATATGTTTAAATTCAGTAAATCTTCACTAAAAATCTTTATTTTTTCATCTATTAAGAAAAGTACTTTAAACTCTCAAATTATGATAGTTTATGTGTCTTTCTGTAAAACTTTTCTCCATTGTTCTGGGGCTTCCTTACTGTATATTGACAAATGGGGGCTAACATTTTCCTTTATCTTGATTAATTTTGAGCAGGTTTCTTTTTCTGTGTATGTCCTTGATCTCTTTTCTTAGAGGATTTATTTTAGAAAACTTGGCCATTGTAATTCTTTCTCTTCCCCCTTTGAACCCTAAATCTCTAAGCCAGACATGTCTTTTTAAAGAAGCTGAAGATCATCCCTTTGAAATGTAATCATTCAAGGAAACAGCATCCCTACTTTCCAGGTTTTGTGGTAGTGTAGGAGTCTAATTTCAATCATTGAATCAAACAGCAAACACAGATGGCATTATTGTATCGACTAATGCCCCAGCTAAGATCCCCCAGGACTTGTCTTTGAGCTGCCCACTGCATTTAAAATTTCCTTGCTTTTTGTTTCAATGGAGTTGAGTTAATACTCTCTCCCCTATTACAAGTCTCTTTGCTTTATTACAGTAGACTTAAATAAAATCAGGTTTTCTCTGACTGTTTAACTTGTTTGATGTATTTTCTTTTTTTTTAAATTCCATGTGCCAGAGAACGAGAGAAGGAACTCCCCAGTGGGGCATGGAATTGGCTAATCATATATATTCCACTTCTGGTGACCATGTGAATTTTGAGAACGTACCTGCATGTACCCAGTTTGTTTTTTCAAGCCACCAGAGTCAGGCATTGAACCACAGTCAGCCCTGTGGGATCTGGCTCCCATAACTGCTATATCATGCACAATTTAAATTTTCCCCTTTAAATAAGTTATAAATATTGGGTATTGGAAAATCATAATTAATTTTTCTGTTTTTCTGTGCAAAAATGTGCCATGACTTTTCCAATGACTCAACAATATGGAGTTTCTTCAAATATTTTCAAACAGAACTATCATATGATTCAGTAAGCCTATTCCCAAAGGGCAGGAAATCAATCAGAAAGACACTTGCATAGCCTTGTCTATTGCAGCATTATTCACAAAAATATTAAGACATGGAATCAACCTAAGTGCTCAAATACAGATGGGCAAATTAAAGAAAGGTGGTATATGTACGGTACGGAATGCAACTCAGCCATGAAAAATTTTAAAAAACAACAGCAAGATTCTATTATTTGATGCAAAGGGGATGAATCTAGTAGGTTTAATGAGAAGTGGAATAAGCCAAACTATGAAAGACAAACTATGTCTCACTCAATATATACCGAATGCGCTCTAAGGCAGAAATTGGAAGCTCTGAAAACACAGAAGTGTAGGGAGAACAAGTGGGGGGGTTGGTTGGAAGGGACTCAGGAAAAGTCACTTAGCAGACATGAGCATGAATGTAGAAGGGGAAGTAGGCTGTGGAATGGCATACACAACTGTGTGAACAAAGGGACATTGCCCAGCTTACATAGCTGTATCTGGAGAAAAAAAAAAAAAAAAAGAGAACTAGTAGAGCAAAAATTGAAGGTATACATTAAAATGTAGTGTTCTCTGTTGACAACAATGAATATGGTAATATCCTTGACTTGATCATCGTTCACAGCTCACATACTTTGAAAATCTGTATTGGAGGCTAAAAGATGTACAACAATTAATTGTAAATGAGAAATTCTAAAAAAATGAAATTTAAAACAGTTTTAAAATGGATAAAAAAATAAAAAAAAAAGACAGAAAACCACCATAGTTTTCACCACGTCCCCGAGTAAGAGCTCTACAGCCACAAGTGTTTACATATCTTACTGCAGTAGTGCCGGCAACCAGACACATTAAAGTCCATTGTGATACTATCATAGTTATTTGACCCACTCAGATCCAGCTATTTAGTGGATTAAGAAAGAAAGGAATATATTATTATATTTATGTCATCACAGTTATTTAATGTATTTTGATACCAATGACATCCTACATTCAAACTCAACTCTTTTATCCATATCGGAATTTAACTCAGATTTTTAAGAGCGTAAGAGGGTTAGGCACATAATGAATTTTTATAAATACTTGCTCCCAGTAGTAATAAAAGACAGCATACTTAAAACAGGTAAAGTGTTACTGCATTTGATAAGTTTGAAGAGACATTGGGAAAAAGAACCTGGTTACGCTTCCTTATATTTGTTTCGTGCTTGATATAGTTGTTGTTTTTAAATCTAAGAGCTGGAGGAAAACTAGAAAAAGAGAGTGAAAGACTCTTTTCCATATACTTTTCTGTCCAAGTTTGATGGCGTTCCCTTAAAGTGCATGTCTTACCTGATTCCTCGAAGTCACTGTTGTAGGCTTTCCAGGTTTCAGTTATTCGAAGAAGATTTTCTTCCATGGCTTGAATATCCATGGAGGGGCAATTGCATTCTGGAAATCTGGGACCACAGTGACACCAGCAGTCATTGTCCTTGCAGATAAACTCTCCCTCTGAATTGCAAGCAATGTAGCTCAAAGCTGCTTGTACAAAACGCTCCTGAAGATAGTCTGGAAGGAGTACTTGAAGCCCTTGAAGAACAAACAAAGCAATCACATAAGCTCACTTTGTTAAAAATAGAAGAATATATGTATATATATTATTCAATGAAACAGCAACGATGATCTTTCTGTGCAAAAATGATCAATTCATGTATATTTCATTTTATTTTATATTTATTTATTTTGTTTATACATCCAATCACTATATATAACCGCAGCTTGTAAAATGAATTTTCCCAGCATGATTATACTGTTAACGATAGCATACAGGTTACCATCGACAGATAATTTTCCAGTTCTTATAGCCCTTACATATTGTGCTTCATTATTCTGCTTCTTGATTCCCTTTCTCATTAAAAATATCAAGAGAAAATGATCTAAGTCTACACAATCACAAATATTTATAATTATTTCAACATGTGCAAGCTCAATGAATATGGAAACTCAGAAATTACAGGTGTAGTTGAGGTTTTAGATGATCTGATTTTGTTTTTTAAACTTCTTTGATGGGCTCTTTAATGCAATTGATGAAAATATTGCATTACTTTTGGGTAATATAGTTCCTCAATCGGCCTGTACACAACAAGCATGTGCCCGTGTGACTGTGATCGGAACTGACGGGGAAGGCTGGAGTGGGAGGGCCCGATGATGGTGCCTCTCTTTCTCTCCATCTCTCTCTCGATAAAAAATAATAATAATAATAATAGTACATTGGAAAAAACGAAGTGACTAGGGGGGATCAAATGAACTGATTTAGTTGTTTCACAGTTCATTTCTTTACCATGTATAAAAACAGCCCTTATAATTAAAATTTAAAAAAAAGGGGGACCAGCAGGTGGCGTGGTGGTTAAGGTGCTGGACTCCCACATGGCTGACCATGGTTTGAGTCCCAGACTTGGCAGCTTGCTTTCTTCCTTTCCTTCTCTCGCTCTCTCTGTGTCTCTCTCTGCTCAAATTAAAGTGAATGAATGAATAAAAACAAATAAATAATTAAAATAAAATAAATAACATCCCTAATGATAGAACTCATTATTTTTCTAGATGCAAGTTTAGTAAAGTTGCTCTCTCTTAAGAAAAATATCAAAAAGAAAAAAAAAAAGCTGCAAAATTAATGCTCAGGTATCTTTAAGGGTTTTATATTTATTTTAACTTTTTTATTTTAATATTTTAAGAATATAGTTTCAATTTCAGTATTTCTTGCTACATAAGAAAACTGAAAAATAAGCTACATATACAGGTTAATCAGTAGGTAAAATATATAATAAAGAGAAAATTTAGCCAACAACAATTGCTATTAACCACAAAATTGGACTTTTAAATTCTTTACATATTTTCTTTCTAATAAAAAAATCAGTTTTTTGATCCCTCAGTTTTATGTATAATGTTGATTTAATAAAAAATAATG